AACTGCCAGTGACATTTCGGCCACCTACTAGTCCTGCTGGCTGGTCTGTGACTGATCAGCTGGGGTCATGAAACTCTGTTTTGCACTATAGTGGGTCCAGAGAGTGCACCTGCAAGCACTGTGCTGGGGCCAGGCTCTATTACAGTCTCCTGGAGTTGGATTAGCAGCTTTCCACTGAATCTCAATCGTGTGGGTTTCTTACTGTCTGCCCAAGACTGCAGGAGTGCCAGAGGCAGCCACTCAACTGACTAGATATTCACTAGGCCCATGAAATCATGAGAATCCCTCTTGGCAGTTTGCCACCTGGTACTGGGGCAAGACTAGAGTCTCCATCCTTTGCCATTGGTTTGGAAACCGGTACCTTAAGATCATTCCAGTGCTGGGCTTTACCAAGTTAGCACTGGATCCAAAGGCATAGTCCAGTGGTTTTTACTGTATACCCAAGGTTGGAGGCAAGTGATAAAGGCAGCAGCCCCTTGATCCTTGCCCCTGGTCCCTAGGACCAGGCTGTGCCACCCATGCTTTTTACAGACCCTATGCCCTGTGGAGTGTCAGGGGCATAGGCCAAGCTTGCTGGAGGCTGAGTATGATATAAGAGAAAGGCGTCTAGCTAAACGAAGCACAGATCCCACCTGATACCAATGCCAGTCTGCCATTTGCAGACACATGCCTGGCAGTAGAGGACTTAGGGCTTTATCAGGAACTCAGTCTCATGGCAGGATCTCCAGCCCTGAACTCCAAGGCAAACTTCTAAGCTCCCTCTAAGCCCTATTCTGCATCGGCTTGAGTACGGTTCTGCTTGTTGTTGTTGTTGTTTCCAGAGACAACCTGGCTACTGAAAGTCCAAATACTCAGTCCCAAGGCACAGGGCTTGAAGTAGGGGCTATGCGGCACTGTCTGACTTTGGTAAGCATGGTGCCTACATTTAAGACTCAGCAGTGAACTTTCCCATCCTCCAAGTCAGAGGCACCTGTTTCCCCTCATCCTGATATGTTATCACAGCATCCCAATTAGGATCTTAATCACTGTGCAAATGTCTGTCCCTGGCCGAGTGACATTTGACAAAGGTGCTAACAAATTTACAATAGCATTTTCAACAAATCATGCTAGAGAAACTGAATTATCCATTTCTGGTTGGGTTTTTTTTTTTTTTTAAGATTTCTGCATTTTTTTATTGTAAAGGCAGATATACAGAGAGGAGGAGAGACAGACAGGAATCTTCCATCTGATGATTCACTCTCCAAGCTGCAGCAATGGCCATTGCTGAGCCAATCTGAAGCCAGCAGCCCAGAGCCTCTTCCAGTTCTCCCGCACAGGTGCAGGATCTCAAGACTTTGGGCCATCCTTGGCTACTCTCCCAAGCCACAATGAGGGAGCTGGATGGGAAGTGGGGCTGCCAGGATTAGAACCGGAGCCTATATGGGATCTCAGCACATGTCAGGTGAGGACTTTAACCATTAGCCTACCCTGCTGGGCCTAGTTTTTGGTTTGTTTCATTTTTCTGATTTCCTTTTCGTTTCATTTTGGATTTTATGGTACAATTATGTAGGGTCAGAGATTCTCCCTGCCAAAATCCCACTCCCAGACTCATTTTCCCCATATTGTTACAATAGTACACTCCTTCTAATAAGTTATAATTCCATCAGTCTGTTATTTAAGCATGCCTCGACATGGCTGATACAGCAATGTCAGACAGTCCAGCATCTCATCATCTAGCTATGTCCAACAGTTTCATTGGGAGTCCATGTTTGATTTGGAAGTAGGGATGCTTATTGCACTGTATTGTTTTTTTTAATCTTTTATTTATTTGTTTATTGATTTATTTACTTATTATCCTTTATGATACAGTTCTATAGGCCCCTGGGATTTCTCTTATCCCCTTTCTAAATCCCGCTTCACCGTGTACCCCTATATCATTACTATACTATAGTCCTTCATACACAGTCTTATGTCCATTATGGCAGAGTGTCCATCATCCTATTGTCTGTCAAGATATAGTAAACAGTTTCATTGAATCCCTCTTTAGTCTGGAAGTAAAGATTCATACTGCAATGTATCATCAGATCTGGATACGTTACTCTCCGTTTCCCCTTAAATGAAAAGCCATACTACAAAATCAATAACAACAACAAAAGTTGTCAGCCCAATGTAACATACCCAGCAAATCTTTCTTTTGTCTTTGAAAATAAAATAAAATTCCTCCACAATAAGTTTGAAAAGTTAAAAGCATTTGTCTCTTTCAAACCTGCCCTACAAATGATACTTCAAGATGTTCTCTTGACAGAGAAGAGGAATAGCACCCACCAAAACCAAAGGCCAATGTGAGGAACACCCAAATAAGAAAACAACAGTTGACTAAACCAATGAACAACCCATTCCTAAAATGACAGGACCAAAGTACCACCCATACATATTAACCCTGAGTGTAAACGGTTTAACCCATCAACAAACAGCATAGATTAGTACACCGGATTAAAAAACAAAACTCGTCTGTTGCCCACAGGAGACACATTTCACCAACAACAATCAGTGGAAAGTATATCTCATGGATTTTAATTTTTTTTTTTAGTTTCATGTCTTCAAAACACTTTCTTCTGATTAAACTCTTCAATGACTCATACAATTATCCATTCTTAACTGATGTTTAAAAATTAACATCAATCTGCTCCCTCGTGTCTTCCCCCAAATTAAAATGATTGTAGAGCACTAAAAGAACTAAAATAAATGTTTAGATGAAAAATTACAATAGAATAAGAACAAAATCTGTAAGTAGAAAAGCAATTCTTAGATTTGATAACAAAAGTATAAGCCAGGGGTCATGGTGGCTCAGCAAGCTAAGCCACCCCCTGCGAGGTCAGTATCCCATGAGTGCCAGTTTGAGTCCTGGCTGATCCACTTCCAACCCACTTCCTTGTCAATGTATGTGGCAGAATAGAAGATAGCCCAAGTGCTTGGACTACACATATGAGAGATTGCAGGGAATCCCCTGGATTCAGTCTGACCCAAGCCTTGACCTTGCAAGTCTTTGAAGGATGAACCAGGGGATAGAAGAAGCTCTCTTTCTTTCTTTATCTCTCCCTCTATCTCTGTACCTCTCTCTTTCAAATAAATAAATGTCATTTTTATAAAGGAGTTTTAACCATGAAATTTAAAAATGGTTAATTTAATCCCTCTAAAGTTTACAGTGTTTACTGTGAAAAAGATCTTTTTTAAATGGTAAAACAAGCTACAGACTAGGAGAGAATATTTGTAAATAAAGTATCTGACAGAAGGCTGGTTGTCCAACATATAAAGAACTCCAGAAAATAGGCAGTTAAAAGTTCAAAGTGGGCCTGGCGATGTGGCATAGCAGCTAAAGTCCACTTCTTGAACTTGCAGGGATCCCATATCTTTGCCCTTCTAATCCCGGCAGCTCTGCTTCCCATCCAGCTACCTGCTTGTGGCCTGTGAAACCAGTCGAGGACTGCCCAAAGCCTTGGGACCCTGAATCCACGTGGGAAACCGGGAAGAAATTCCTAGATCCTGGCTTCAGATTGGGGAACCACAGGCAGTTGCGATCACTTGGGGAGTGAATCATCAGATGGAATATCTTTCTCTCTGTCTCTCAACCTCTCTGTATATCTTCATTTTAAAAACAATTAAATTAAAAGAACCTGGCTAAAAAACAGACAAAACTTGAACAGATAATTCTCTAAAGAAGATGTGCAGGTGCCAAACAAGAAACAAGCACATAAAAAATGTTCAGCACTATTAAATTATTAGGGAATATACAGTGAGACATCATAAAGCACCTATCGTAATAGCTAAATTACAAAACATTAATAACATCAGGCCCTGCCCCTAAAGGCCTTGCCTTAAACATGGGCGCCAATTCCAGTCCTGGCAGCCAGACTTTCCTTCCAGTTCCCTGTTTGTGGCTTGGGATAGCAGTTGAGCACAGCCCCAAAGCCTTGGGACCCTGCACCTGGGCGTTGAGATCTGGAGGAAGTTCCTGGCTCCTGGCTTTGGATTGGCTCAGTCCCAGGCGTTGTGGCCACTTGGGAAGTGAATCAGCAGACAGAAGATCTTCCTGTCTCTCCTCCTCTCTCTTTATATGACTGTGCAATAAAAATAAATAAATCTTAAAAACCCCTAAATATGCAGTTTCTATATACTTAGAAATCTGGGGTACTCATCCTAGAGTAATGAAAACATGTCCACATCCAAAAGCTGTACATGAATGCTCACAGCATTTTTACGTGTAAAAGCCCAAATCCAGAAACAACCCAAATGTGCTTCGACAGACACATGTCACACCAAGGTGCACTACTCAACAGGAAAAAGAAACAATCTGCTGATAAACACCGTAACTTTGAGGGAGGTCAAAGGATTATATTGACTAAAAGAAACATGTAATTTTGGCATACGAAATTATTCCATTTATATGGCATGCCAGAAATGACAAAAGTCAAATGACGGAGAACAAATTAGTAGCTGCTGGAAGTCAGGGAGAGGAGGAGGGGAAGGTACTGTGGTTATTACAGAGTAACACAAGGGATTGTTCTGACAACATTTCTGTCTTAACTTTAGGGAAAGTCACATGAGGCTAAACGTGTGATACAGTTGTAGAAAACTAAAACTACACCATGAGTGCATAGAAGACTGCTGAAACCTCGGGTTCTTTTATATCAGTTTTCTGGTTGTGAGAGCTTACTAGAGTTGTACAAACTATTACTTGAAGGGTCAGGTTGGCAAGAGGCACGTATGGTGGGGCAGCTGAGGAGTTTGGCTTGGGTGTATTTGTCCCAAAACATCCACATGAGTGTTCTTGTTTCTGTTCTCATATAGATACTCTTCATCTTCCTACACATGCGGTCTAGAAGTTCCAGCATATATTTCAGTAACTTAAAAATAACACATAGGGTTGGCGTAGGAGTTTATGAACATTCACTTTGTTAGACAACAGAAAGCTTTATTTGCACAAATGAAGAGAAATGTCTAAGAAATCATACATTTTTCAGGCTCCAAATACAGATGGAGTTGGACTGTTTGGATTAGCTGGCATAGGAACCACACCAGCAACTGCACCAGCAGTGGTCCCAATGTTACATGAAGTTGAAAAGAAAGTTTCTACACATTTGGCATCATCTTGCATTGCCATTGAGTGGGAAGAACCAGACTGCCATGGTTCTCCAATCACCGGATATAACATTGACTACGGAGACAGAAATATTTTGACTATCGGTAGAGTAACACAGTATGTTCTGACAAATTTACAGCCTGACACCACATACAAGTAAGTCACTTACATATTTCTTTGAATGGATGGAAACTTTTTTATGAACTTTGAGTGGAGTTCCATTTGCATATTTACATCATCTGCACAGTATTTCCTTTGAAAGACAATTCTACAATATCAGAGAAATCGAGTATTACCAAGAACCAATTTATATTTCTCATCAATAATAGTCAATATATTATGAAAATCACGTTTTGTTTTGAACGCCTGTCTTTAAAACTTAGTATAATACTGTGGCTAATGTCCCCCACTAGGGTACGAGGAGCTTGGCTTACATGTCAAAAATGGCTTTCTTTACTAAATCTAAGTTAATATATCTTAGGATCAACACTGTGGTGTACTAGGGTAAGCCTCCAACTGTGGGGCTACCATCGCACATGGATGCATGCTTCTGTCTTGGCTGCTCCACTTAAGATCCAACTCCCTGCTTAGGATCTGCAAAAGCAGCAAAGAACAGCTCAAATCCTTCCTGCCCCCATGTGGGAGACGTGGAGGAAGCTCCTGGCTCCTGCTTTCAGATTGGCTCAGCTCTAGCCATTAAAGCCATTTACAGAGTAAATCAGTAGATGCAAGCTCTCTCTATATATATGTGTGTGTATCTCTATTGCTCTGTGTGTGTTTCCTTCTCTTTGTAAATCTGTCTTTCAAAGATAAAATTTATAAAAATTAATAGATCTTAATTTTGTCTTATCACTAGAATCAGAATTCAAGCCATCAATCAATATGGATTAAGCCCTTTTAGTCGAGCAATAAGAGTCAGAACAAAGCCACTCCCACCTGAACCACCACAACTTGATTGTGTAGTCTATGGACACCAGAGCCTCAGACTCAAGTGGGGCTACCCTTCAGCCAAAGCTTTACTTTCCAACCTTATAAACTACAACTTGTTCATGTGTAATCCATCTGGCAGGTGAGGTTTTTTGTTTATTTGTCTACTATTCAATGGATGTAATAACAAACTGATTTAAATTTGTATTGCTCATAACAAAATTCATTTTAGTGAATGAACATGAAAGCAAGCTGTTAACATGTTAGATATGCTGTCTTATATTCTTGTTTATAATTTAACTCCATGTGTTCATCTTGCAAAATACTTCTTCCTTTTCCTTTAGTATGTATTAAGAACCAGGATGCAGAAACTACAAAAAAGAAAGAAAGATAGATAGAAAGAAAGAAAGAAAGAAAGAAAGAAAGAAAGAAAGAAAGAAAGAAAGAAAGAAAGCCAACATTTCACCATCACAATATTAGTTATTTTTCTCCTTGTGTTTGATTTGCTAAGGTGACATTAAGGAGTTTGTTTTTAAGGTTTACTATTTTTATTTGAAGGCAGAGTTAGAGAGAGACTAGAAACAGAGAAAGATCTTTCAGCCACTGGTTGTAATCCAAATGGCCACATCAGCCAGAGCTGGCTGTTCCAAAGCCAGGAACCAAGCCATCTTTTGGATCTCCCACATGGGTGTAAGGTCCCAAGGACTTGAGCCACCATCTACTGCTGCTTTCACAGGCCGTCAACAGGGAGCTGGATCCGAAGTGGAGCGACTGTCACATGAACTAATGTCCATATGTAATACTAGCTCTAGAGGCAGAGGCTTAGCTGCCTATGCCACAGGGCCAGGCTCCTCCTCCACCTCCTCTCCCACCCCCACACTGAGGTTTTAAATTCAGTTTTGAATCAGTTGTAGAAGGAACTCTTTGGGGTTGAGTGTTGGACCAAGTGGTTATGATGCCCCACACTCCATGTGAGAGTACCCCCGATTCCATACCCAGCTCTGTTTCTGCCTGCTGATTTCTGCTAATGCAGACTTGAGAATACAGCAGTCTAGGGCCCAGTGCAGTAGCCTGGCAACTAAAGTCCTTGTTTTGCATGATCTGGGATCCCATATGGGTGACAGGTCGTTTCCTGGCAGCCCTGCTTCCCATCCAGCTCCCTGCTTGTGGCCTGGGAAAGCAGTCGAGGACAGCCCAAAATCTTGGGGCCATGCACCCACGTGAGAGACCTGGAAGAGGATCCTGGCTTCAGACTGGCGCAGCTCTGGCCATTATACCCACTTGGGGAGTAAATCATTGGTCGGCATTCTTCCTCTCTGTCTCTCCTCCTCTCAGTATGTCTGACTTTGCAATAAAAAATACCTCCATTTAAAAAAGAAACGAATACAGCAGCATACCAAAAGAGACGATGCAGCCACACACACATGTGCAAGACCACCAGTACATTCCTGGCTCCTGGCTTCAGAGCCTGTCAGGAGCTACCGTGAGCAACTGGGGAGTGAGTTAGTACATGAAACCTTTCTCTCACCGTCTGTGTCTAGCTCTGTTTCCCTTTTAAAATATAACATTTGTACCGGCATTACTAAAGTAGATATTTACTTCCTCGTCTCTCTTTCCACCCCCAGGTTCTCTGTCATTTACCATGGGCCTTCTCAGACTCACAAAGTGCAGAGATTGGTTGAATATACTCAATATAAGTTTAAAATCCAAGCATGTAATGAAGCTGGTGAGGGACCACTGTCCAGCATCTATATTTTCAAGACAACCAAAACCCCACCTGGCACACTTAAAGGTAAAAAGTGTTCTAAGCCACGATACTAAGGTTGACAATCCTTTGGATTCCAATAGGTTCTATGAAAAAATTCAGCAGTAAGGTTTAGCTTAAACAGTCAGTTGCATCGCATCCAGAGACTAGTACTTCATTATGGACTCAAAGGGCAATGCAGGAGTTCATGAGACTCTAACTCAGCCAACAACTCTACCACCACTACCATTTTGAACATCAAGAAGTTAAGCTCCCCAAAGGCTAAGCAACTTAGCTAGTGGACACCTTGAGTCAGTGGCAGAGTCAAGGTCAGAATCAGACCTTGGCTTCCCATCACAGTGCTCCTTGGACTCTCGTGACATCCATTCCTTGCTAGACCTTTTCTTTTCTGAAATGGATTATTACATACAACATCGGTTCATAGGTGTGATTATCATGACTAAGTCGTTTTTTTAGAAGGACTATGGAAACGTAATAAATTTCACTTCAGAAACTCGGAATTGACTCTCCTTACTCAAACAGTAAAATAAACTGCTATCTGACATAACATTGAGACCATTTAAAGTCTTCGGAGCCACAGCGTCAGGGAATTTTTCCTCCCAGTTAGGATACTTAGCTGCGCAATCAGTCCACACATCAGGCCCATCCCTATCATTAGACAATTTCTCATCAGTTTAAAGCAAATGAGCATATTAGGATTAAATACAACATAGGCTACAATAATGCTTTTTCTCTCTTGCTGACTAATGTCTTATGTATTTCAGCCCATTTTCCTTGAGGCATAGAGAGACAAATAACATGAAACAATAAACCCTAACCTTCCTACAGTTGCTACCACTGCAAAAGAAGATTAATATATGTGAAAATGCTTTGAACTGCATCACCTACCATATATATAGATAGAGATAGCAATATGGAGAGATGATATAGACATTGATAGATATTGGTATAGAGATATAGATACAAACATTATACAAATATAGATTAGATATAGATATGGGTAGAGATAAAGATATCAATATGGATGGTATAAATATAATATACATATAGATGTCAAATGTAAGAGGTTATACCAGTAGTGATTAGGTGTCAGTGATAAAAGTTGTAATAAGGGTTTGTTGGAAAATCTAAACACGGATTATAAGTTGGTATTTTTACATTTCTAACAGTTTTCTTCTAAAAGATGTATTTATTGGCGTTGATGTGATGACATCTGATGCTAATCCTCCACGTGCTGCCCTAGCATCCCATATGGGTACTGGTTAATGTTCTGGTTGCTCCGTTTCCCATCCAGCTCCCTGCCTACATGGTGGAGAAGCAGCACATAATGACCCAAGGCCATGGGCCCCTGTACACACATGGGGAACCCAGAGGAAACTCCTGGTTCCTGGCTTTGTGATCAACTCAACTCTGGCCATTGTGACGTTTTGGGGAGTAAAGCAGCAGATGGAAGACCTGTCTGTATAAACTTTGCCTTTCAAATAAAAATAAATCAATCTTTAAAAGATTGATTTCTTCCTTTGGGAGTCAAAGTTATTTGGGGCGGGTGGTGTGGGGAGAAGGAGGGAGCAGGTGGGAGAGGGAGGGAAAGAGAAAAAGATCTCCCATGTGCTGGTTCCCTCCCAAAATGGACATAATGGCCAAAATGGTTGGACCAGACCAATGCCAGAAGCTGGCAGCTTCTTCTGGGTCTCCCAAATGGGTGGCAGGAGCCCAAACCCTTGGGCCATCTTTCACTCACTGCTTTTCCCAGGATGTGAGCAGGGAGCTGGACCAAAAGTGGAGCAGTGTGAACTCAAAACAGCCCCCACATTGGATGCTGGCAGCACAGGTGGTGGTTTATTTTGCTACACTACACTGCCCTCCTCTCTCACAGTCTTATTACAGTCATCAAAATGCCTGGCAGTACAAGAGACTTTCCAATAAGCACTCTAACTCGATGTGTCTTAGATTAAGCCTATACATTACTGATATTTAATGACCATGGAATTGTATAGGAAATTTCAATGTTCACCTAAGCATCACTTAGGACAAAGAGTCCTCTAAACTGAAATTCTCTTTCCTAGCACCTAAATTGTATCTGCTGAACAGCAGTACTTGCAAGATCAAATGGGAAACTTTAAAGCCGATCAAAGGAGATCCTGTTATTTACAGTCTTCAACTTACCAACGAAAAGGGAACTGATTTGGTAAATTCTTGCAATGTCATTTTTTAAAAAAATTATTTACTTAGCAGGAAATTCAGAATTAGAGAGAAGGGGGAGATCCAGAGAGGAAGACACTCCATCCACTGGTTCACTTCCCAAATGGCCACAGTGGCCAAAGCTGAGCAGTTCCAAAGCTGAGAGCCAGGAGCTTCTTGTGAGTGTTCACATGGGTGCAGGGGCCCAAACCCTTGACCCATCTTCTGCTTCTTTCCCAGGCCATAAGCAGGCAGCTGGATTGGAAATGAAGCAGGCAGGATTAGAACTGGCACTTATATAGGATGTGGTACCACAGATTAGTGTGCTATACCACCACTCTGGCTCTACAGATTTGTTCTTTAAATGGATCTTGCTTCATATGCTATTAGGCATTTAGTTCCTGTCCAGGAGTATATTTTTACAGGATGCTTAACGTAACTAAATCATATCCACAAGTCTCATCTGGTTGCTAAAAGTTATTTGTATAACACTTGATGGGGATAATTAAGCTTACTAAGTCAGCTAGCTTGCTACTATTGAACCATGGGCATGTCTTGGTTCCTCTCTTCACTGTCAACACCTTAATTCTAAAGCAAATGCAGTTTAACTTTAAGTCTTTGCTACGTTTTACCCTGAAATGACCTAAACAGTACTGTATCTTCACTTACAACATTTCTTTTCCTTTTCTGCCTTTATAAGGATTTATTTATTAATTTGACAGAATTACAGAGACACATGTATGCACGCACACAGACACACAAACACACACCCACATAGAAGAAGAGACTCTTCCATCCACTGATGTAGTCCACAGTGCTCACAACAGCCAAGTCAGAGCCAGGCCAAAGCCAGGAGCCAAGAACCTCTTCCAGGTCTCCCACTAGGCCCCCATGTTTTCAGGCCATCTTCCACTTCCCTAAACATTTGCAGGGAGCTAGATTGGAAGTGGAGCAGCTGGATCTGCTACTGGTGCCCTTATGGATCCAGTGTTGCAGGCAGTGGATTAAAGCGCTACATCACAACTGACCAGCTTGTAGAGAATTGCTCAGAAAAACTTTGTTGTGAAGATGTTCATGTAATTCGTTAATTTCTGTTTTTCCTATTGTTAAAAACCACACAATATCATTTTATGTGGTAGGGAAATATAATGTTTCTCTTCATTCCTTTTCCCTCAGATTTACAAAGGGCCGAACACGTCATTCAGGTTTTCCAGCTTGGTCTCAAGTTCCAGTTACCGCTTCAAGGTTTGTGCTGGCCGCCAATATAAAACCTCTACTGGGATACGAGAGATCTGGGGACCGTACAGTCCCTGTGCACTTCTTCCTACTCCGAAGGCTCATCCCAGGGCCGGCAAAGGTGGCAAAGGAAACAGAGGCAGTGGTCCTGGGCAAGAAAATGGTCTCAAGGCCAAGATAGAAATAAGCGACAACACATTTGTTTTAATCCTGGTGACAGGATTTGCACTTATTGCCATTCTGTGTGCTGTTATGATCCAGTGCCTGTTAATAAGCAACTAGTCTATATTTCTACTTTTTCACTGTACTAATTACATCAAATACAGACCTTGCTAAATACCTCTCAACTGTGTAGTGTTCATTTTGCATAAATCTGCTTTAATATTCAATGCACATCTTTTATATAAAAAAGAAATTCATTGTAACAGTAGATTTTTTGCAGAAAATAAGTTAATTTTAATTTTTCATAGGATTCTTGCAAAGTGTTTTTTTAAGATTTATTTTTATTGGAAAGGCAAATCAGTTTATGGAGGGATGGAGAGACAGAAAGATCCTCTATCCACTCTTTCAATCCCCAAATGGCCACAATGGCCAGACTGTACCCATCTAAAGCCAGGAGCCAGGCAGTTATTCTGGGTCTGCCATGTGAGTGTGGCTCTTATTTCTGTTTGGTCCAACCCTAAGTCTTGTATGTTTATTTAGACTGAACCAGTGGCTGAATGAACTCTCCATATTTCTCTCTTTAACTGTTAGTCTGTCTTTAAAAAAAATCTTTTTTTAAATATCTAAAACCTTTTATACTGTACTATTGTGTGATTGACTGATTGATTGATTGATTGAAAGTCAAAGTTAGAGCAGAGTGGGATTTTCCACCTGCTGGTTCCTTCCCCAAATGGATGCAATCGCCAGGGCTATGGTATATTAAAGCCAAGAGCCAGGAGCTTCCTCTAAGTCTCTCGTGTGGTTGTCAGGGGCCCCAACACTTGGGCCACCTACTGATGCTTCTCCAAGGCTTTTTCCGGGGAGCAGGATCTGAAGTGGAACAGCTGTAACATGAACCAGTGCCCACATGGGATGCCAGGGACACAGGCAGCAGCTTTGTTCATTACACTACAATGCTTGTCCTGTAGCTTTTTCAAAGTAATGTATTGTCATTGACTTGTACACTGCTACCCGCTTTGAATAGTATGGAAATACTGATTTACAGCAACTTGCTATAACAGAAATAGAGAAAGTCGAAATAGGAGAATGGGAGCCATTTTGTATCATTCTAAACTGTTTAAATACATCCTGTATTGCTTCTCTTGTAGTAAGAATAATGAAATATTCTATATTTGATGGTTCACATTTTCCATTCTTATTAAAATCAGTTGCTCTCCCATAATTGGAAGTACATCCATCTCTAGTGACAATGAAGTACCTGTTTTCTATTCCCAAAATCTATCTTCCAGGAACTCTTTTGGCAACCTTGCCAGAAACTATCTACTACCTTTGTTGAAAACGTTTGAAGCGTATCTCTTACTCCTGAATTTTCTCTCTGCACTTTAAAACCGAAAATCCCTAAACCAAAATGAAAGTGTCTGATTCTTATAGAAATAATTTCACATATTGTATGATGTCACCTTTCATTGACTAATATGCCATCACTGACATAGTATAAAATATAGAATATGGCAAAAAGTACTGGTAAATGTTCATAGGCATTGGCCCAGGATCCTCGCTTTGAACAGCTTGAATGGCATCATGTGACAGGTAGCACTTTGTTTCTGCCAGCACAAGAGCTGGTCTGCATCTATGCAGTTCTCTATGCAAACACAGCAGATCTTGTCCCACTTGCATCCCACACAGTGACTTGCCAGACTGGTTTGTTGACCTTGCATGACATTGGATGTCGCAAAAGGAAATGTTATTAAACATAAAAGCATGACCATAGAAACTAAACACTGAGAGAAAAAATGATTTTTAGAAACTAACTGAAACACAAGATGGCAGAATAGTAATCTGCCATAATCAACCCTCTGCAAAAATACTGAGCTGAGCCACTATCTGGCCAAGAAAATCAACTGAGAGCACCAGAAGAGTAAAGAGGGGAAGGAGGACAGATTTACATTAGCCAAATCAGCCCTCTCCCAATCCTAAGCAGCAGAGTGTGAGGTAAGACATTGTCGTTTGATGGAGCCTATCACAGTATATCCCAATGCCAGACATCTCCCAAGGCCTTTGAAAACAGGCTGATACTCATGGACTGTCTCTGCATCTTCCTCAGCACCAACTGGGAAGCCACAGTCACCACGAGAACTCACGTTCCCATCCAAATCGCCACAAGATGACTTCAGGGCCTTGGGTCAATATCACACACAATGGCAGGCTGACTGCAATGGCCAGGGGGCTTAGATTCGAGCCACACTGGGCATCAGCATTGGCAATGACAGGCTTCCAGCCTGGCACTCTTTTCTGGCCATGGCAATCTTGGGTTTAGGGTGCTCCCTAGCACTGCACTGGGCTTAAATTACAATAGAAATGTTTCAGTACTTTCTGGAGACACTTACTGTGAAGGGTATGCCCCAGACAAAGACACATGCAAAAGCTAGAATAAACACCATGTCAATATGCAGAAATCAAGGCGTAACTGTAAGACTCAAGAAGTAGGGAGGAGCTGGTGCTGTGGTACATTAGGACAAGCCACTACTTGCATTGTTGATGTATCAGAGGCATGCTGTAAGTCTCAAATACTCTACTTCTTTAAAAAGGCAGAGCTACAGGAAGAGGAAGAGCCAGAGAGATAGGACTTCCATCCAGCAGATCATGCCCCAAATAGCCACAACAGCTGGAATTGGGCGGGTGCACAGCCAGGAGCTTTTTCCAGGCCTCCCACATGGGTGCAGGAGCCCATCTTTCACTGCATCCACAGGTGCATTAGCAGGGAGTTGGATAAGAAGTGAACCAGCTGGCACTTGAAGTAGTGTTCATATGACATTGCCCACATTATTGCTAGTTGCTTAACCCACTGCAGTGTATGTGTTGTATGCCAGCCTGATTATGTATTCTAATCCAGCTTCCTACTACTATTCCTGGGAAAACAGCAGAAGATGTCTCAAGCACTTGGGCCCCTACCACCCATGTGGGAGACTGAGATGGAGATGCAGTCTCTTGCCTTCAGCCATGGTGGACATGTAGCAGTGAACCAACAGTAGAAGACTTGTCTGCTTCTCCCTCTCTCTTCTGTCTCTCCCTCTATCATTTTGTCTTTTAGATAAATAATCTTTCTAAGAAGCTACTCAAGGAAACAGGGGCCACTTAACAGACAAATAAAATCTTAGTCACTGACCTTAAAAATGAACATGCAAAATATTCAAACCAGCTATTTTTAGGAAGCTCAGCAAGACTTTCAAGAACCCCAGCTACAGGCAACGGCCTAGGTAGCCTTGTGCCTAGGCACCTGTTACACTCCTGTGAGAAAAACAGCTGATAGCTGGTGGGCATCCTGGGCCTCACTAATGCCAAATTTGTGTTAACTATACCAGTGTGCCAACATAGTCGTCTACTTTTTAAATATGTGGCTAGCAGACACCTGCACATCAACAGCCAGAATCTGGGAACCTGCGCACACATCCTGGGTAGGCCCTGGGTAGGCAGACAGCAGAGGACTGGGCATGAGGGCTGTGGATTGCTCAGGGAAGTGGGTCTGGACATGTGTGGGAGGGAGGACTGCTGAGGGAGAACATGACTGGTGAGGATTGACTTCTGGAGGACTTCCACCAACCTGGCTACTACACTTGTAGGTTAACAGGGATGCTAAGACTGGGTGGTTTAGAGGAGGGAAACTGGAGGACCTTCTGGAGACAAACCAATACAACCTCCCACATGGGAGACCTGAGCTGGGATTGTTGGTATCAACCACCACCTGCCAATGCATACAAAAGCCATGTCTTAGGGGCCTGCCTGGCAGGGCTCGACCACAGTAGCTGCCAGAGAGTGTTGTGGGCAGGGTGTGGACCATGACAAGCTGGGCCATAGCACTGACCAGCTCATGAGAGAACTGTGTCTGGGAGCAGATTCTGTAGGGAATCGTGGGCTCACCCCTGTGGGACTCCATACCAGCTGGTTTGCTCAAGGGCTGGGGTGGTGATGGGCTGAGCTAGGCATGAGCGTGGAACTCAACAATACTCATGGATTCTGGAGTTGGGAGCAAACCAAGCTGGTCCAGACTGTAGCATCTAACAGGCACACCCAAGTACTGGGTGTGACCAGGCTGGGCCACAACATCCACCAGCACCCATAAAGGCCAACACTGGGGGACAGATTGACAGGTAAGGGCTTAGGACCCAGTTTGATGCATGAGATGTGGCTCTGAGAATGGGCCTGGTGGGGGAGTTGGGAGAACTTCCCTGGTGGGCCTTAGTTCCCGCTGGTGAGAGCATAAGTGAGGGCTGGGCATTGATCAGACCAGGCAGAACTACTTCACTTGTTGGCAGGTGTGTGGCTTCGTTCTGTAAGGGGTGTAACTGGCAGGGCCAGGCCATGGGCACATTGGCATATGTGGGAGACAGAATATGTGGGAGACTGGCATGTGTGGGAGACAGGATGAGGTGTGTTCCATGCTAGGCTAGGCCATTCTATTACATCTACCAGTTTTCATGAAAGCCAAGGATGGGGGCAGGCTGGACAGGGCTAGGTTTCAGCGCCTACCAGTAGGAGTTGGGACTGGGGATGGACCAGGCCTGGCCACACTATAGCATCTGATGGCAAAGCCAATGAGAGGTGATGGGTTTTGCCATACTAGGTCTTGGCAACATCCAACACGTGCCAGATCTATGGCTGGGAATGAGCTTGGTCAGAGAGCTAAGGGAACACCGAGCTAGACTGTAGTTCCCACTAGGGAGCACAAGCACTAGAATGGGAGTGGTGAACTGGGCTGGACATGGCTGTAGCATCACTTGGCACCAGTATGGACCAGGTGTGAGGTGTGGCATTCTGAGACAGACTGCAGCACCTGCTGGTAATCACAAAGCTGGCATAGGTGTAAGACAAGCTAGGCTAGGTATCTGTACCCACTGAAGCATGGGAGAACTGAGTCTAGGGATAGACAAGGCTTGGCTAGACTGTGGTATGCAACAGTAACAAACTGAATGGATATGGACCAATCAGGCTGGGCCAAGGACCCACCAGTGTGTGTGAGCCCTGGAAGGTGACCTGATATAGGACCTTGGGGAAGTCATCTGTCAGGACATAGTCTCTGCAGGTGAGCTCAAGAACCAAGGCTGGGAGGAGCCCAGACCAAGCCAGGTTGCAGTATTCATTGGCATATGTGTGTGTATGGTCTGGGACAGGCCAGGCACGGC